GGAAATGAGACAGGGAAGGGAGAACATCTGCACCAGGTACTCAAGTCTTCCCAACTCGCCCTGAGAGTACGAACTGGGATTTCTGGGAGAGGGAGTTGTTCTACATCAGCTTGAACTCGAACGTGCAAAACATCAGCACATTAACGAGGTACCTGTGTGAGCTGGATCGGTGACGCCTTGCTGCTCCATGCACTCACTGCCTGCTGCCCAGGGCAGCCCCCGGCCCCTCCAGCCAGGGCACAGCCAGCACACGAGGCTGGGAGCGCAGGGCTGGCGCTTCAGACGGAGACAGCAACGGGGCTGTGCGCTTGTGGCTCTCGGTAAGAGGGAGGGGAAGGCAACCGGTGCCCTTCACGTGGCCCGACACAGAGGGTAATAACACAATCCAGAGTGACAGGAAAGATGCCTTTGGGAGAGTCAAGACCAGGTGGAGGTCTTCAAACCGATCTGAAAGGGGGGAATCCTGACTGGGGGAAGGGCTTCCCGCATCCCTAAGTAACAGCCTAGATTCTCTTCTTACATTTCTGGCAACACGAGCCAGCAGGCTGGTCAGCAATCAAAACAGAAGGGACAAAAGGCACAAGCATCAAGTCAAAGGGAGCTCTCAGTACTCATTCAGGTTGAATATTCCTATCTGTTCTCAGGCTACAGACTGTAAGGGACAGAGAAAGGTATAAAACCTGGACTGCACACTAGGGAATGAAGAAATCAAGAGGACAACATCTAGAGGAGCCCAGGATCAGTACCTGCTCTGGAGGGCTGGTGGAAACAGGGGAACTCCATCTGTAGAATATAGGCGTGAGAATAGAGTCTGCCAGCACCCACTCACGGTTAACTCAAATTGTCTGCTGAGGGGACCCGCCATATCATGGTGTATTCCTAATAGATGAAGAACAACGGGAGTTACTCTGCAGAGATGCCACCGTTTCCAAAATTCAACTGCTTTCTGACCAGGATGAGCAAGAAGTCTCCTGCATACTAATAAACTGCCAAGGCTGCAACTAACCCGCCGTTCTTGCAGGAAAGACCAGCACGCACACAGCTAACGAAGCACTCTGGTAGGGACAAAAGACTTCTTCAGGGATCATGTGCCCAGAAGCTTTAAATGGGGAGATTTTATAATACACATCAACTTCAGTGAAAGTGGTGCACAATGTTAGGAGGGGGACCGATCCATCTGTCTGGAGAATACAGAAGTAACCAAGCATTTATGATTTGGAATACGAACAACGATTCAGCGTCTGCACTTCTACGACAGAACACTGGGCCCTCTTCTTTTTGGGGACAAAGTACTGAAAGCAGAAACCACTTCCATGAGACACCATTTCTGTAGCTCTTAGCAGAAGTATAGAATCTTTTTCTCCCTTTATCAATGTCCTACCAGCTCCCCTCCTCAAGGAGAAAACGGGCAGGGCTGTGAAATACAACCATTCATGGAGTTAATGTGGTGTTCATTTCAAAGTCTCATCGCTCTACAGTATGAAAGTGTAAAGCTAAAGATGCTCTATGTGCACTGTGGGGCTGCTCTCAATCCCACGTTAGATGTACTACTAGGAAAGCGACAGATAGCAGGAGTTAAAGCAGAACACAAGGAAATGAGATTTCTATGCACCACATGCTAACATGATGAGTTATAGCTGCACAAGTCCTTGTATCCACACCACAGGGGTGTAGATACCCAAGGACTTCAGTGTGGTCTCAGGGCTTCTCGGGGTGTGCAAGGACAATGTGCAAAAAGCAGCCAAGGAGGAGACTCCTCTGTAAGCAGCTACGCTCTTGGGAATCCTTGAGACTAGAGAGATCAATGGCAAAGACCACAGAGGAAAATACAGTAATAGGAATATGGATTTCCTCAGAGGAAAGGTCTAGTTACTGGGTATCCCTCGAAATAACAGCTCTCAGGCTGTCATTTGTCTTTGTGCAGAAGCTTACCTGTAAAAGGTGACAGCTGCCAGACAGGGACTTAACAAACAGGCTCTTTGCAGTTCTAGAGCTTTCAAGAAAAGCCTTTCAGCTGAGGAAGCTTACTGCTTGTTGGAGGAAAGGGCTTTAGGAGGCCCTGCCAGCTAGGAGGAACTCTTGCAGACAGCCCAGCAGAATGCTAAGCCAGCAGAGGTGATGTTCTCTGAGCAGCTGCCGTTGTGCCCCCTGCTCGCGTTAAGGGCAGGCAGGCCTACCTCTGGCTCAGATCTTCCTTTTGTGTTGCTTCCCCTCGACAGCCTGGCACAACAGGGCACGCAGGCACGATACTCTCGGTAAAAAAAATCAGCAAACACTGATTGCTAGCAGCCCTTCCTAGCAGGGACCAGAAAGGACAGAAATCCAAGACACCGTGGCATAGAAGCTAGGCCAAAAAGAATCCCACCCAGCTCAGGATCTTATTTCTGAGTGGCAAAGGGCAGAGCAGGCAAGCAGTGACATTTCTTTGACCGGCCCCTCCAGATTTTAGCATCTGCTGGTTTGAGGACTTCCTCGTGTGCCAGGACAAAAACCTTTGTGCTTAATGCTCCTCTTCCAGCGAGCTGTCCCACTGGGGCTTTGAGCTCCCCAGCAGCTGTGAGCTGCACACATCAGCTGTACGATCAGAAGCAGCGCTTTCCTCTCTACTGCAAAACTGCCACTTGCTGGTTTAATTTCCTGATCCTTTTTTTGTGTACCAAAAGAAAATCCTCTTTCTTTAGGAGACTTCCCCATTCTCCTCTAGCGTTACTCTCCGTCTCCCTGCTG